GATTTAAATAATCCTATATTGATCCTATAATCTCACTGAGAAATATTAGACAGAGCAGCTGTATTTTAGATCATTTCACTTGCTAAGACACAGTTAAGTAATGAGGTACAAGCACTTCAGTAATTTTTTGTATTTCTGTCACTTGTTTTTTACTTTTACTCAATACATTTTCAACACAGGCTCATTAATTTTATCAATCTGTTTCTTTATCTATGTATGTATTTTTCAGCCATAGCCCAGAGAACTTGTAGAGAGGAGAATTACCACTCTGTAGTGTCTTCCAGGTTTCTCAAACACTAGAGGGCGCTCCCGAGCGAGTCCAAAATGAATGGGTTGATATGGAGCTTTTGAGCAAAATCATAGTTTATCAGGACTCAGTATCAGTAATGTTAACCAATCAGCTCTCAGTATCAGTAATGTTAACCAATCAGGACTCAGTATCAGTAATGTTAACCAATCAGGACTCAGTATCAGTAACGCTGGTCTGGGCAACTTTCCTGCTGAAAAAGGACCTTTAGAAACCATGAGGATTAAAACCTAATGGTTTTCCTTTCTTATAGGAATTGGCTTAATGGTTTCCACTAGTTTCCTGTAGAACACCTTTAGGTCCCATTAGGAAACCATCAAATGCATTTAGAATCAGCCACTGGTTGCCTGTTAAAGCATCAGGATCCTTTACACTGTGATATCAACACATTAAAAAAGACAAAACACATTAGAGAACCATCAGAAACCATCAGAATCACGTAATGGTTTCTGTGTTGCATTTCAGGTTATCATAACTCTCAGATGACTGGACTGGAATAAGACGGCAGCTCGTTGCTGTACAAACCACCACACAGTCCACACCAGCCCCCCCTTCACAGGTAGGACTGACCAGCTGTTTTCGGCTGTGTTTGTCCGGTACAGCAGCACACTGAGAGTTAACTAGTTAATGACCGGAGCCAGACTGCAGGCCCTTCTCACATTCCCGCATGTTTTCTGTCAGCGCAGGGTGTTTTCAGTTTTTCACACCCAAAACTGCCGCGACAGATTCGGCCATGAGCGTTTTTACTGCTGCTTGTCGTCCCACAGGCCGGCGTGGTGCTGGGTTCTGTGTGCTAGCGCGCCTGGACGCTTCAGAAAATGCTTTGTGGTGTCAGTCAGAGGTCTCGGTACCCCATCACTGATACGGCGTTTGAGTGCCAGTATCGGTGCCGATACCGATGACCCTCCTCGTCGAGTCGGACAGAAACTGTATTCGGAGTGGCCTGTTCCGACTGAGGAGTACACACGGACGTATTCTATTCCGACTGAGCTACGAGTCGGATTATTAATGGATTACCAGGCTGCAGGTAAACGTGGCTGCTGGTTGGTACCACAAACCATAATTGCTGTTTCATTGATGATGGCTGACTGTCTCACTCTCCGTAACTGGGGGGCCAGATCGGCGGCCATGCTTCATGCACTGGCCACCTCTTGTCCGTGCCTGAGCCCAGCCTTCTCTCCAAAGTCACGAGCCTTCAATCACTCGCAGCCAGCAGGTTTGGTGTTCGGCTGATAAGGCCGCTCCACGAGCTCCAGGCTTAGTGAGCAGGTCCTTTCTGAAATAACTCATCACAGCCGTTAAGTGTCAGCTCCTCACTTTCTAAAGCTGCGGACTGACACCACCGGGGCGGAACGTGCTCTTTTGGGAAAAAAAGAAACAGAATACAGCAGAAGGAATTAGAGCACTTAAGATGTCTCCTATTTTTAGGCAGCAGTCACCATTTCCCTCCGAGGGACGTGATGCGTTCTCGTAAAGGAAGTAACCTACATAAAGGGGAGCGGCAGCGAACCTGTCCTGAACTCAGCAGCAGCGATGAACACACTGGCAGAGTTATGGGTGATTTCAGACAGCAAATCAATGCCCACACACAGAACCTGCTCTTCTATTTAGAGGGGGATTCCAGCAGTTCATGAACATCCCCCATAACTCAGAGAGATTCAGAGGGGTTTGGAGTGAAATGGTTCAGATGTCTTTACAGTGGTGGTGATAGGAACCAGGGGTCGCCATGACTACAACACAGATATAGACATTTTATTTACTATCCAGAACCACCAGTGAACCTACACGAGTCTTCTGAGTTTATATGGAATGTTGATGATGGAAAATAGTGGAAAATCTGAAATAATAAGTTTTCTTTGGGGACTATTTTGCCTCACAGCGCCCTGCATGTATCCCTCCACCATGAATGGAGTTTAAGTTCTCTAAACTATCATAAAACAGTGTCTCAGTCATCAGGCAGTGAATTCATAACCATTTCATGTAGGAACTTTCTGTGAGGGAGCTTTTAGAGGTGGACGTCTGGTTCCTATCACCACCACTGTGAACACCGAACCATAAAAATATGTTACTGTACTTTTTAACATCTGAAAAAGACAAAGTAGTGCCACATTTAAAAAATACAGTAAAAACTATGTATACAGTGCTTCGTGTTCAAAATTAATGTATCCAATTAAACAGAGCCAATTATGCTCCCTTTATAATCAGACATGCAGTTGGGAAGTGTTTTCAAGCGCTGATGATCCCCACAGTACGCTCAGAAAAGTGTACCGTGATGTAATTAATCCCACTAATGATAAATACTGTCCCATTGTCCAGCCCCAGGTTGAATCTGCACTAATGGTTCTCAGTCCTGGTCCTGGAGAAGCACCGTCCTGCACATTTTACAGGTTCTTCTGCTCCAAACAGACCTGATTCAACTAATGAAGTCGTTTCTGAGGTCAGAGCAGGGACAGCAATACAGCAGGGGAGCTCAGTCCTGGTCCTGAAGATCCGCCACCCTGCAGAGTCCATCTTCAGCCTTGATCAGACACACCTGATCCAGGTAGTGAAGGCCTTCAGGGGCATCTGAACATTAGAGGCAGGAATGATGGATCTGAGTTCTCCATGGTGGCAGACCTCCAGGGTCAGGACTAGACATTTTGAGTGTCCCTTGTTGGTTCTGTGCTCTTCCTCACAGTAACTGAGATCTTCCTCGTCTCCTCTTCTGTAGAGTCTCTGTTCTAGTGCGGTTCTGCGCTCTTCCTCACAGTAACTGAGATCTTCCTCGTCTCCTCTTCTGTCTTCAGTGTGAGAAATGAGGAACAGTCACTCTTCACTCCAAACTCTTGGGAAACTGGGCGAGTTTTCAGATTTACAGATCTGCTGCAGCTCATTGTAAAGTGTTTCAGAGGAATCCGGGCAGAGTTACAGTTTCTAGGCTATGAAGGACCAACTGGGTGAACCAGTCTGCTACAGCGCCACCCTGAGGCAGAGCAGTGCTGCGGCTCTAGCTAGTTAAGAAGCTTGCTGATTGGTGAGTGATGAAGGCTAAACACTGACCCTAACTCTGAATTTGTATTTGAGGGTCTGTGTTTACCCTAACGGACAGCATAATGTCACAATACGTTCAATTTCAGGACCCCCTTCCAGAATTTTGAGACATTCAGGGGGTTCAAGAGATTAATTAGGGGGTCCCGGACCCCCCAGTACCCCTGTATTTCATGCCCAGCTTTCACTACAACATATAAGTCAGTGGTACCACAAGACCACAGCTCTGAGATACACTCCCATGCCAAACAAAATGGGCCAAGCCCAAAATATAATGGTTCTCACTGCTGGTTCAAATATAGTATATATATTTCAGACATTTATCAATATATTCAAACATATACGTGAACATATATTTAATAATATATGATATAAATATGAACGATGTGTGGAGGCACTGTTTACTCAGCTTCATGTTCTGTAATATAAGGTTCTCTGTTTTACTTCCTAATGAAGTGAAAATCAGCAGAACAGCTGCAGAACCGAACTGTAAACAGATGAACACTGTAGATCTGGAATAAAGTCACTAAATACACAACTGTACTGTGACGTATTCACTCCTATCACAGACCTGTATAATCCATATATTATACGCATGTTTCCACTGTTTGGTGCTTACATATTTGTGCACAACATATACGTACATATATGCCTGACTCTTAATGATGTGTGCATATATGGCCATAAATCAGATTTACGTATGGTTATTTGTTCAGCGATCTGTTGTTAAGGCAGTGTACATGTGCGCACTTCAAAAAGATGGTTCTTTAAGGGTTCTTTAGTAAAGGCAGTGGTTCTGTTTAGAACCGTGAGTTCTGTACAGGAAATTCATGCTTAAATGGTGAAATGTTTTTTCAGATTGATGGAGAATGTTCTATATAGCACCATAGGGTTCTGCTGTTGTTACAAGCTTGACATCCTAACTGTACACTCTTAGGAAAGACGGTTCTTTAAGGGTTCTTAAGTAGAGGCAGTGGTTCTGTTAGAACCATGAGTTCTATTTAGGACCAATTCATGCTAAAATGGTGAAATGTTTTTTTAGATTGATGGAGAACGTGCTGTATATGGTATAGCACCAAAAGGGTTCTGCTGTGGTTACAGGTTTGACATTGTATCAGTGCACTCTTAAAAAACATGGTTCTTTAGTAAAGAAAATGGTTCTATATAGAACCATGAACACTCAAAGAACACTTTGCGTGATTGCATCATGAAAGGGTTCTTCAGATTGATGGAGAATGGTTCTATATAGCACCTGTTTTTAAGGGAACTGTATAGCACCAAAACAGTTTCTTCTATTGTTATGATGTCAAGCTTGTTGTAATTGCAGAACCCTTTTCGGTGCTGTCTAGGACCATATGTAACACATTCTCCATCGATCTGAAGAACCATTACACCATGCAAAGAATCATTTAAGCATGCTTTAATACGGTTTTAATACGCCTTTACTAAAGAACGCTTAAAGAACCGTCCTTTAAGTGTGTAAGACACCGTGCCGTCCATTAGAGGGAGCTGTTGCCTTTCTGAGCCTGGCCGTAGGTGCGGCAGCAGAGCCCCCGTCTGCGTGGAGCTGTGTGAATGTCAGGCTCCTGTGGGCGCAGAGCGGCTGTTCTCTCTGCTCGGCGGCCAGAGTGGAAGCAGCGCGCGGCCGGCTCGCTCTGAACCGTGGATGGGTATGATGTACGGCGATGGAGAGGGAACCGTGTGGGACCGCGTGGGACGCCCAAGGCGGGACTGCATGTGTTACCTGGGACCACCTACCACTCTCATGCCCATGTAAGACTGAACTACTACCACATCGCCTCAACTTAACTCTGCGCTTCTGTTGTTTCAGCGCGCGCTTTATTCAGTGGGGGGAAAAGAGACGCGGCACTTTTAGCTTCGTAACAAAGTCGCCTGAAGCCATTTGCGTTCTTCAGCTAATGGACTGTGGACATGTTCAGCGTGTGAAGACCCTCGCTGTGCTCCGCTCAGAGGAGTAATAGCACTAGTAACGCTGCGTGTTCTCACTCCTATCTGGAGAGAACCAGAGAGGAGAGTGGAAGAGTGGAAGAGTGTGCAGAGTGAGAAGAGTGTGCAGAGCGCTGGAGGTTTATTTACTCTCTAATCTGCCGGTTCTGGACACCGTGATGTCCGTGTAGTGAGAGATGGTTGGTGTGCAGAGCTTCGTGAACGCCGCACTGCCAATCAGCAGTGGGGTTGCCAGATTGGGCGGGTTTCCATCAAATTAAGCGGATTTTGGTTGGATTGGGGATGTTTTGGTGGGAGAACCTGTTTTATTATGATTATGATTAATAAAACTCCGAAATTTGACAGTTTTAAATGTACATTTTAACTTAACAGTCGACTGTAGTTGAAGGGGTATTCCACCAATTTTTTAAAAGTTCTGTATAATTTAGTGGTTGAGATTTAAACAGACTCGTTCACAGTGGTTCTAGATAAACTTACAGAGTCAGAATCGTTCACAGTGGTGGTGATAGGAACCAGACGTCCCCCTCTAAAAGCTCCCTCACAGAAAGTTCCTACATGAAATGGTTATGAATTCACTGCCTGATGACTGAGACACTGTTTTATGATAGTTTAGAGAAGATTTTGGCCAGATATGTATATTTTTGAAGGCTCTGAAGACTCGTGTGGGTTCTCTGGTGGTTCTGGATAGTAAATAAAATGTCTATATTTGTGTTGTAGTCATGGCGACCCCTGGTTCCTATCACCACCACTGTAAAGACATCTGAACCGTTTCACACCAAACCGCTCTGAACCTCTCTGAACCTCTCTGAACCTCTCTGAACCGCTCTGAACCGCTCTGAACCGCTCTGAACCTCTCTGAACCTCTCTGAACCTCTCTGAACCGCTCTGAACCTCTCTGATTAATTCTGCAAAAATTGAACAATTGCTCCATCTTACTGACTGTACACGGTTCTGTAACAGAGTATCCGGTTCACTCTATGTTACTGACCGCATGTGGTTCTCAAACAGATTATCCGGTTCCCTCTGCGTTACTGACTGTATGTGGTTCTCTAACAGATTATCCGGTTCCCTCTGCGTTACTGGCCGTACATGGTTCTCTAACAGACTATCCATAAGGCAGTTATGAAATTTCAGGACAATAGAAATTTGACTGGAAAAATCTGATTTTGAATGTTTTTATGTGCAATCTGTATCACACCATCTGAAACTGAAGGTTTGTAGGAGAATTCTGAACTGAATTTTAAGGTTTGTAGGAGAGCGGAATTGAATCTGAAACTGAATTCTGAACTGAATTTTAAGGTTTGTAGGAGCGGAATCGAATCTGAAACTGAATTCTGAACTGAATTTTAAGGTTTGTAGGAGAGCGGAATCGAATCTGAAACTGAATTCTGAACTGAATTTTAAGGTTTGTAGGAGAGCAAATCTGAAACTGAATTCTGAACTGAATTTTAAGGTTTGTAGGAGAGCAAATCTGAAACTGAATTCTGAACTGAATTTTAAGGTTTGTAGGAGAGCGGAATCGAATCTGAAACTGAATTCTGAACTGAATTTTAAGGTTTGTAGGAGATCGGAATCGAATCTTTAACTGAATTCTGAACTGAATTTTAAGGTTTGTAGGAGAGCAAATCTGAAACTGAATTCTGAACTGAATTTTAAGGTTTGTAGGAGAGCGGAATCGAATCTGAAACTGAATTCTGAACTGAATTTTAAGGTTTGTAGGAGATCGGAATCGAATCTTTAACTGAATTCTGAACTGAATTTTAAGGTTTGTAGGAGATCGGAATCGAATCTTTAACTGAATTCTGAACTGAATTTTAAGGTTTGTAGGAGAGCAAATCTGAAACTGAATTCTGAACTGAATTTTAAGGTTTGTAGGAGAGCAAATCTGAAACTGAATTCTGAACTGAATTTTAAGGTTTGTAGGAGATCGGAATCGAATCTTTAACTGAATTCTGAACTGAATTTTAAGGTTTGTAGGAGATCGGAATCGAATCTTTAACTGAATTCTGAACTGAATTTTAAGGTTTGTAGGAGATCGGAATCGAATCTGAAACTGAATTCTGAACTGAATTTTAAGGTTTGTAGGAGAGCGGAATCGAATCTGAAACTGAATTCTGAACTGAATTTTAAGGTTTGTAGGAGATCGGAATCGAATCTTTAACTGAATTCTGAACTGAATTTTAAGGTTTGTAGGAGATCGGAATCGAATCTTTAACTGAATTCTGAACTGAATTTTAAGGTTTGTAGGAGAGCAAATCTGAAACTGAATTCTGAACTGAATTTTAAGGTTTGTAGGAGATCGGAATCGAATCTGAAACTGAATTCTGAACTGAATTTTAAGGTTTGTAGGAGAGCGGAATCGAATCTGAAACTGAATTCTGAACTGAATTTTAAGGTTTGTAGGAGAGCAAATCTGAAACTGAATTCTGAACTGAATTTTAAGGTTTGTAGGAGAGCGGAATCGAATCTGAAACTGAAATTTTAAATAACTTAAAATTCAGTTTCAGTTCAGAACTTCGTTTCAGATGGTGTGATACAGATTCCACATCGTTCAAATTTCAGCCGTTTGCATTCTAGTCCATGTTTCTAACGGCGTGGATGTAACTCCACAGGCGCAGAGGAGCATTAAAGCTCAGAGAAATCCAGCGAGTGAGATCTCTCAGTAGCCCTCAGCTCTGCTGAGCCTCCTCCTGGCGCCGAGCGTGGCTGTGTGAGTGTACAGAGTGTGCTGTAGTAAGCGCCAGTCACTTTTGCTTAGCGTCTCTCAGCCTCCCTGCCTCCTCTGCCAGCCGAGGGGGGAGGTTTCCCACCGTTAGCAGGGCGCGGGAGGAGACGGTGGTGGAGAAAGCCTCTGGGCGAGTTACAGTAGACCGCGGAGATGTTCTGTTTGGAAAAGGCAGAATTCTGCATTTAGTAACGCAGCCAGGCCGGTGTGATGAGAAGGGGTCCCGGCGGGCCGCGGTCTCACCTGGAGCTGTGAAGGCCCAAACTAACCCACCCACCACCCTTCTGCTCCTCTCCTCTCCAGCGGCATGCGGAAGTCGCCCGACGTCAGTCCCAGACGGCTGTCCGACATCAGCCCCCAACTCCGGCAGCTGAAGTACCTGGTGGTGGACGAGTCCATCAAGGAGGACCTGAAGTCGTCCCGTTCGGTGGAGGACATCAACAGCGCGTCCATCGAGGAGAGGATCTTGAGAATAACTGGCTATTACGGTTACCAGCCATGGAAGTCAGTTTACAACCGTAAGCAGCCTGTCTCCTTCACTGTTTCTACATGTATGTATGCATGAGCCCTGCAGGGTGTGTGGACCACCCGGCCCACTGTCCACGTTCTTAAAAGGTCTGAGGTCATTCACTGACAGAATCACAGCAGTGACAGTAGTTGACTTTGTGTGACGGCATGACTGAAATGGCTTTCATCCACATCTCTTAAAGGGGAGCTCTGCTAAATTTTCCATTTCTGCATAATTAAATCATTAAGATGTAAATGTAGTCGTTCAGAGTGGTTTGGTGTGAAATGCTGTGTTCTAGAGAAACAGAGTCAGGGAACCTGATGGTGTTAACAGAAAGCTGTTACATAAAATGGTTACGACTATAAATGCCTGATGCCCCAGAGATGTTTGCAATAAAGTTTGGCATAAAACATTTTTTTTTAAATCCATTAATGGCAGAGGGTTGCATGCAGGGTGTATAAGGAATAAAATAAGGCTCTAAAAGCTCCTCACAGAAAGTTATTACAGTAAATGGTTATGAATTCACTGCCTGATGACTGAGACACTGTTTTATGATAGTTTAGAGAACTTAAACTCCATTCATGGTGGAGGGATACATGCAGGGCGCTGTGAGGCAAAATAGTCCCCAAAGAAAACGTATTATTTCAGATTTTCCACTATTTTCCATCATCAACATTCCATATAGACTCAGAAGACTCGTGTAGGTTCACTGGTGGTTCTGGATAGTAAATAAAATGTCTATATCTGTGTTGTAGTCATGGCGACCCCTGGTTCCTATCAGCACCACTGTAAAGACATCTGAACCATTTCACACCAAACCCCTCTGAATCTCTCTGATTACATCTTAGTGACTGAACTATACAGAAAATGAATAAAATGGGTGGAATTCCCCTTTAAAAGCTGGAGCATCCATCTTGCTTTAAAAGGAAATCCATTGTAAAATGTCTGTAGCGGGGTGTGGGGCTGGCAGTGAGGGCCCACTGTTGTGTTTACCCAATAGCTTTACTCCGGTGCTGTAGGAAGGGCTGCTGCTTCTGTTTACTCCTCTTTTGTCTGGCTGCTCCTCGTAGATAAAGGACTGTAACAGTGTGTGGGATCTGTTGTGTTCGTCCAAACAAGCATAGCTTGGTGGCTCTGCAGTGAGCATCAACATCAGACCTCAAACACAGAGAAAATACAGCACCAGAATAAGACAAAAACAACATGCATCCCAACAGATCAGCAACTCCAACCAACACTGCTGTTCCTAAACAGCTTCTTTTAGAAAGCAGTGTAGCTCAGAGTGGTTCTCTGTTCTAGATAACCTTACCGAGTCAGGATTGTTCACAGTGGTGGTGATAGGAACCAGACGTCCACCTCTAAAAGCTCCCTCACAGAAAGTTCCTACAGTAAATGGTTATGAATTCACTGCCTGATGACTGAGACACTGTTTTATGATGGTTTTGAGAAGAATTATTTTGGTTCTAAAACATGTTTTAAGGCAAAATAGCCCCCCACAAAAAAAAAAAATATTTTTTTAATTTCTCACTATTTTCCATCATCAACATTCCATATAGACTCAGAAGACTCGTGTAGGTTCACTGGTGGTTCTGGATAGTAAATAAAATGTCTATATCTGTGTTGTAGTCATGGCGACCCCTGGGTCTGAATTCACAGAAGTGTCTTAAAAAAAGTTACGAAAAAATCTAATTCTTCAAATAACTTATTAAGAATGATCTTATTTTCCTTTCTCAAATATTTTCTTAACAGTAGTTCTAAGAACAGGTGGTATTTTATGAAAATATTACCTTCTTAACTGTTTGACAAGGTCAGCATCTAAATTTATCACAGACGCTGCCTCTGCTTGTGCTGCCCATCCTCGTCCGTCAGCGCACAGTTATTATATTTTCCAGTGAAGATGTTTTTCCTGTTGGCTGGTTCTTCCACCATCACCTCTAGTTCTTATTTGCTAATATTTTTTTTTTTTTTGGTATTTTTCCTCCGTTTTTCTCACATCGTTTATGGTTCATGGTCAAATGCAATGTAGCCTAGAAAACAGGGAAGATTTTCTGAATTCAGTTCATCTTAAGAGAATATTTGAGAACTTCTGAAGTTTTTTTTGAGAATTCCATTTAAGAACATTCTAGCGAGCTTCTTAGCGTTTGTCTAAGGAACCTTCGCACGTTTTTTCTTAAGCAAGCTTTTGTGAATCCGGCCCCTGGTTCCTGTCACCACCGCTGTAAAGAAATCTGAACCACTTCACACCAGACCGCTCTGAATCTCTCTGTTTACGAGTTGTGAGCTTCAGCGCGGCCTGAGAGTGAGACAGCTGTGTTTATGCTGTGTGTGTGTTTGGTAGAGGCCTCAGAGGCAGAGTGAGAGAGTTCTGCTGAGGCGTTCTCCAAGGCCCTGGGGATCTGCACGCACATGCATCTTTCAGACCCGTTGGACAGCAGCGCGCTCACAGGCAGTTCTGATAAAGATCAGATCTTTTCATGCTCATTATCTCAGATGGTTGCCACGACCACAGAACAGTGGAACGTGTCTGGTTCCTGTCACTGCCACCCAGCACGCACCGACCTCCGAGCGTGCTCTCCCAGGCCCAGGCTTCTTCTGTTCCCTCCCAGCCCAGCTCTCTTCTCTGAACACCTCCGGCCTTAAGGAGTTACAGCTAGGATTTAGGCGAGGGGTTTTCGGTTCCTGTGACGTGTGAATACTAAAGAACAATGCCACAAGAAGGTCAGCCAGGATTTGAGCGTTCTTCTGCTTCCATAACTATAATATTATGTTAAATATAATGTATATAATTATGTTAAAGTGGAATTCCATGCATTTTTGAAATGTGTGCATAATGAATGTTTATTCAATGTTCAGACATAAACAGAGAGGTTCAGAGTGGTTTGGTGTGAAGTGGTTCAGATGTCTTTACAGTGGTGGTGATGGGAACCAGGGGTCGCCATGACTACAACACAAATATAGACATTTTATTTACTATCCAGAACCACCAGTGAACCTACACGAGTCTTCTGAGCTTATATGGAATGTTGATGATGGAAAATAGTGGAACATCTGAAAAATACTCCATGTATCCCTCCACGCAAATGGCTTTATTTATTTATTTATTTATTTATTTATGTATTTATTTATTCCCAAACTCTTCTCAAAACGGTCGTAAAACAATGTCTCAGGCATTAGGCATCATATTTTGTCACTATAATGTGTTATAACTTTAGTTGATGGAGCTTTTAGAGGCGTGTTTTATTCCTTTCAATGCTGTGCATGGAGCTCTCTGCTATTAAACTTTATTGCAAGCAGCCCTCAGGCTTCAGGCACTCATATGCGTAACCATTTCATGTAGTAACTCTGTGAGGGAGCTTTTAGAGGTGGACGTCTGGTTCCTATCACCACCACTGTGAACAGTTCTGACTCTGTAAGTTTATCTAGAACAGAGAACCACTCTGAACCACTCTGTTTACATCTTAACCACTTAATGGAATTTGACAAAATACACAACATTATTTTTGCCGTATTTCCACTGCAGAAGGTTGTAGTGGTGATCTGGAGGGTCGACACAGTGAGAGTGAACATCAGTGTAACAGTCAGAAGCAGAGGAGGGAGGTAACTAGTTATGTTTACTCCAGTACTTGTCCTCCAGTGAAACACTGATGGACTCAAATTGTAATACTTTAACTTCTACTCGAGTATATCAGTGAGTAAAGGAGTCTACTTTTACTCGCTTACATTTCAGCCATTTGTATTTAGTTACTATTTCCTTTAATGTGTTTAACTTCGTTCTGTTTTGTTGTTGAACATATGTAGTGCTTTGCGATTGGTCACAGCTCTGACTTTGGAACTTTAGCTTTATTTTAGACCAAATGAATCCAAAAATAGCACCATATAGACTTCGTTTCCTGTGCTGATAGCTGCTTTACTAAGAAGGTCCACTGCAGTTCTATCCATTACTCAGAACTTAAGTTTTTGTTTTATTGGAAAGTACTTTTAGTTGTACTCGCGCCATTATTTCACCCTAGTATCAGTACTTTTACCTGAGTATTGATTTAAGCTACCTCTGACAAGAAGTATCCGAGATACACGAGGCCCGGTCGGCTCAGCCTCGCCTCCAGAACAGAGCAACAGGGTCAGCTTGGGTTCCACAAGCATCCTCACTCTTGGGCGCCCCCTTTAGAACATTAGATTTACTTCTTACTTTGATTGAGCTGAACAGCGAGCAGAGCTAGTTAGTTCCTGAACCAAGTTTTTGTTATGTGTGAAAAGCACAGACTTGTATGAGGCAGTGTGGACCACTTAAAGAGACCACCTGTGTAAAACTTCATTCATCCTTAGAAAATTGATGCGTTTCGTTCTGCTCGGCTTTATTACCATAACCAAAAAAGAAGAAACGCAATTTGAAAACAGTTTTTGAATATTTTTCACCATGTCATTATTTTTACTGTTAATTATTCAACTCTTGTTGAGTCTTGTTAAAGTGAAGTGTATAAACTGGACAGAGAGTGGTTTTCCTCTCCAAAGGGGTCTGCTAAGTTTTATTAACTGTCCCCAGAGGAGTTTGTTTATTCTAGTCTGGTCTGTCACTCATGCATTCTGCTGTTCCCATTGTTGTGAGATGTGACCTTCTAGCTATACAGCTATAGATCTGCTTTTTCCTGGACATCTGGCAGGTCATTTCGCTTGACTCTCCTTTTTTGGCGGTTTCATATATTTAGTGGTATTTGTTGAATGCTGTGCTAAGTGTGATTTGACCAAGCTGGTTGTGACAGGGTCCAGTTGGTGCTGTTTGTCTTTACTTTGATGTGATTGATGCTGCACTGTCCAGCTGTTTATCATGTGTTTTCATGGTAGTTTACATTTTGTCTTCTGCTTTTTCTGTCATTCTGAATACAGAACATTCACAAAACATGTATAAATACAAATATACATCCTACATACATCCCACAAACTGATCCACCAGCGTTCCCAGTCTGTCCTACATCCCACAAACTGATCCACCAGCATTCCCAGTCTGTCCTACAT